GAGCAACATGGCATGCCGCAAGGATGGAGTGAGTCTTCTAATCTATGAGCCCCATGTAGCCATCCCCCAACCAAGTCATCCCGTCCGATCGCTGTATTTGAGCCTGCTCAGGGTTAATGGCGACGAGACGAGCAACTTCACACTTGACAAAACTAACTGATCTAAGCATACTGATATAGAACAATCCCAACGACGAGCCATGATCGAAACAAGGAGTGTATTCGCTTAACGTATTGGATTTATTTTCAAACCCAGCATCAGATACAGGTCTTCGATGATGGTCTCGAGGTTGAACGCAAAACATCAGAGAGATGGGACTATGGTTCGAATTATCGAGTATTTTCTCAACTACTCTCCGACGCTAGTCAGGTATGCATACAGCTACGGGAGACTAAGAGAAGTCAGGGTGCAGTGAAAGGAATCCAACTCTCTTCGATTTTCACTGAAGCCAAAACATAACCGAAGACACGAAAGCAATTTCACCTTGCAGAAGATTGTAGACTTCTCTGAGTGCACTTACCAAGCACATTCTACTAAGTTAAATTAACATATCAGTTTCACAAACTGAAGGCCTTAATAAACGTAATAATTTGCCGTCAGAGCATAACTGGGGATCCTATACCTACTGACGATAACCTCCAGCTAACTTCCCTCAGGGTTGGCATATTTTTACGAAAACACATCGACATACTGAGAGGGTTCCCTAAATTTGACAGAAAAAAAGTAAAACAAGCCCTGCTTTGCAATGGGATAAAGGCCGAGAAAGGAAGAAGAAACAAATGCTTCTATTTGGTACACGATTTTCACAAAAACTTTGTAGAAAAAGTAGTATTAGCAGCAAGTACAGCATAGGGTACAAAACATTGTATAAATGCAATAGGTCTCATGGTTTTGGAACTGCAAATTTTTCGCGAGGTAGCAGACGTGCCCGAAGGATCGAATCTGAAAGAGGAGAGACAGCGAATTAACGAAAGCAATTCAAAGCCGCAACAATTGCTAGGAAGCGCCGCCATTATTAGGAGGTAGTATGGATGAAGATAAGAGGGACTTAAATCGTCATTTCTGGTGCGTCAGATAGTAAAATTAAAGAACACTTCCCGATTCCGAGGACTTCAACTTGAAACTTGTCCAATTTCTCCATAAAATAAGACGATAGCTCAACTGTTTATGAGGAGGGTCGTCACACCTCCAGACTTTTGCCAAAAGTAAATGCTTATAAAGGCGTAGTGAGGGGCGGTGGACGATCAGATTAATCATTCTGCTTTTTGTATTATAAAAACATAGCAGCCGCATAAAGAATACGAAGAAAAGCAAATAGACTATCTGACTTTGATCGTACACATGGGTAACTTTTCAGCCTTCTGCGCAAGCGACAATAAATAGCAAGTCGCCGGCAGGCCACAGTCTTGTCCCCTGCCTGCCTCCTCCCAGTGATTGTGAGCTCTAATTGCTGTTACATGCAACATTGGCGCAAGCACACAAGGAAGCAATCGCTCTGCCAAATGGGCTGCGCCGTCGCGTCATCAGGCCTGCACTTGTGACACGCAAGGAACGGACGCCTTGTCGGTCAATGGGACCGACGCTTTCTCTCCGACCTGTTTGACACAGACTATCTATGCGATGTGAGAGAGAGATGCCAAGTCTGTAAAATCGTCTTCATTATTATTAATTCGGCTGGTTATTGACTTAGACGTGAGTTGGGAGAAGGAGTTTGTCGGCGGACGGGATATTCCGGTACCTCAGACCGAGTTTCATACTACAATAGATTTTTTCCCGATGTGACCCAATGTGTACCCTCACTAACAGGTCGACTCATGTGGGCCGAGGAAGAAAGTATGTGGCACGCGTAGACGGCGGTTTGACACCAGATCAGCCACTGTGCTCATGTGCATCCTCGGTCGTCCTGATTTTGTCCTCACATTTAAAAAATGTAACGGGAGGGAAGACGAAACAGAGGCCGGTGATATCCAGAAGTCTGTCAATGCAATTCGTGCTACCTGCTAAGATGTTTCAGAAGACAGGAGTGTCTTCGTCAATTACAGAGGACACAACCATCGGAAGGAGAGAAGCGGTGGAAGGGTTTTAAGGGAAACATCGAGGAGATAATCTTCCGGTAGTCCATTCATTAATTTCAGAATTTATAACAGCTATCCTGGGGCAGTAGTGATCTACGCAAAAATTCCTTGTCCACGGTGACCACAACATGACTATTTCTCCGCCATAACTGAACCTGAATTCACACTCGAATTGTATACTGTTTGGCAAAAACCAGCTACATTTACCTTTATTGACTGCCAACTAAAGTGGAAACTGGGCTGTGACAATTGCGTCCTGAACAGTCTCGTTGAGCATGGAAGAACTTTGACTCATTACCAGGGTCATTGTGGAATGATTGGAAGCAACCTCTGACAGGCCTTTGCATTTGGTTGGCAGTTAATTCCCGTCCTTTTTTACAGCTGCGACCATGCCGGTTCCAGCCGGTGTCGATGATGTCGCGAACTGTAAGGCTCCACGCATGATTATTTAAGGTGACCGATTTGGGAAGACCCAAACCATTTTGTCCTCAGTCGAGGGGGGACTGGAGGCCCAAAAGCGACTTCCCACCACTTGTATAAAACCAGGTTTCCATGTGGGCAACAGTGCCGAATCGAGGGTAGCAAAATGGAGAACGTGAGAAATGTGACAAAGAACACAGCCGATCCGCCGTAATCGTCTTTCTTGGATGGCGTACGATAACCTCACGACGATGTCGCAGTTGAAACGGTGGTGAGACGAAGCCGGTGTACTTCATTCGAAGGATGGTCCCCAGGCAGCTTAAGGCAAATACCTCAAGACTGCGATCATATTCTACTGCAGGCGAGCTCAGGCCATCATGAGTCAACAAGCTGACCAGATCGACGCCGTGTACATTTAACGAGCACGATACGACAGTTCGTCAGCTTTAAACGACACAACGCGAAGAGGACGCTGTAGGAACTTGCATGCGAATTTACTTGCAGTGAAGCAGACGCATGCAGTATCCGTCACATCTTCTACGCCTAATATTCAATGAGAGGACAGAGTCAAACGGGCATGGAGCGAGATAGTTAAATATCCCGTCTACACGTACCACA